CTTTTGGAAGTAGTTCAATGACTTCAAACTGTTAGTCCACGATTGTCTAAAACAACACAGCAAAGGAGGAACAATAAACATGTATTAAAATGTAAACGAATACATTGCTGAGTCCAAAACCTCGTTCCAACAACTACACTGATCCTGAGGAGAAAAGGGGCAAGGCTATGGTTGGAGGTACTGAGAGATAAACAAGGCACTCCACAATGATAAAATCTTACATATCTTTTGGTGAGTATGAATGATATCCAGTCGAACCTCTTTAGGACGAACACCAAGGGACCGATGGTATTTATTCTGTGAGTTTGTCTTAACCTATTTTATAACCAGTGAATACAATTATTTCTCCAATAGACATACCAATAGATTTCTTCTACAGCGAAAGATTCTAAGCCACACCGACTCATTGACTCGTCTCGTATGAAACAATTGAGTCACTAGAGAGATTCTGCCAAACGAAAATGCGTACAAACTTTCGCTCTACATCATGAAGTGCGAAACTTCGCACCTTTGGACGCGAAACTTGCAGGGAACGCGAAATGAACTGTCGTAGGAAATTTCGTGAGATCGGGTCATGGCGTACGTGCACTTGGCCCGCGCAAACGAGATTTTCACGAGACGGGACTGCACCCATTGGCTTGTTTCGTATGAAACAAACAAGTTACTGAACCTCTCCACAATAGAGATTTCCCCTGATATGCGAATTTATTTTTCAAACTCGGTCAATTGGTACTTGAACCTTTCCCTCCAGATTGGGAACTGCCAACGATAGTATGCCACTGACCAGTGCCTTACTTGTAACGTACCAATGTACAATGAATATGAGTATTTCGACAACACATCTAACATAAGCCTTACCGTCAAGAAGTTGAACTCGCGTTCCTCGCACACTGTAGACAAGGGCAAAGAGATAAAAATGGATTTAAATCCGAATAAAATCAGCACACGTTTCCGTAAATGAAGGTGAACATAAGCAAATGAATCGAAGGAAACCGGTAAACTTAGAGATCATCTGTCATCGAGTATTCCGTAAAAGGAGGCCTCGCAGCTCGGCAGCAGAAAAGCAAAATTTAGAAAAGAGATCCTGTCAACTTTTCCATTATTTATTGCATTCCGCCCCAAAATCAGCACACTTTTCCTGAATGAAAGAGTCAACACAAGCAAATGAATCAAAGGCAACTGGTCAACTCACCTGTCATTGAGTAATATTCCGCGAAAGGAGGTCTCAGCAGCGCCGAAACGAAATAAGCCAGGCCATGAGACGAAATATCCGAAACAGCTCATGCAAGAAGCAGTTCCAAAGAAGGAAGTTCCTCGCGCATGCACATCCGAACACGGATCCGCGGACTGCATGCATGTGCACTGAACACAATGTCTGCCGTGCACGTGCACAGCACTCGGCTACCACGCGTTGGTAGATCTAATACCGAGCACGTTACGTAGAGACTTACGTAGCCTAAGTGAAATACCGAGCACCTTACGTAGAAACTTACGTAGCATAGCGATGTCGTTTTTTCTGCCATGTGAACACAATAATAGAAAAGCTGACAGGATCGCTTTTCTAAATGCGAGAGGGTTGTGATTTGTGCTAAATGCATGCAGTGACTTTAAAAGTGAAAGGTGGGAACTGTGACATCGCATTCGGTTGGCAGAACCTCGGTCTTGAATATACTAAGTTGTAATACTCAACTGGCACTAGGCTTCAGGAGGAATCTGTTTTCGGCATGCACAGCTCCTTGCTGTCAACCAGGTCAACCGTGTTGGGTAAGCCAAGCTTGGTTGGTGGAAAACACGATGTTAGGCTGACGTGAATGAAGCCTCTTTAACGGGCAAGAGAAACACATACATGTACATGCTCATAGTGGACGGTTCGATGGACTTCTCGTGTGCTCTGGATGCCAGTCGTGAGTCAGTCAGGTGAGAACTCAAGTCGGCAGGAAAAGCGCGAGCTGCCATGTAGGGAGCAACACAATTCCCCAGTTATCGCCGAAGTCGCACCACCTCTTCTTCAAAAGAAACACAATGGATGAAAATGCAATGTTAGGTTGACAGCATGTTACTAGTGCAATGCGAAGGACGCACTGACTGTGTTGAAAACAGCGCTCCTTGCTGCAACCATCCACGGTTGGCAGAGCCCCGGTCTTGCGACCATTTGAAATGGTCGCAAGACCGGGGCTCTGCCATTTTCAACCGACCATTTGAAATGGTCGCAAGACCGGGGCTCTGCCATTTTCAACCGTATAGAAAGATACGAACAAGTTACACTCTAGTTTTCGTTCAACACCCGTCACGAATCATCGTTGAACTAATGAACAAAAACAGCAGAAATGGACTTTTATTAATAAATTTAAAAAACCCCAAAGAGAAGTAACACCGCCGTTACACCGGTGCTGAAGGAAAAAATGTGATTACCGGTATTATACATGTACGTTAATGCGAAATATGGGACTTTCGTGAGAATTCAAAGCCCTCGTGACTAGTAGTAGTACTACCGCGCCTTTGCCTGCTGAGTAATAATAATTCTGAGCTTCTTGTATTTTTCTTTGTTTCGTAGAACACGACTTATGCTGCAAAATACATGTATGCTGTTATCAATCTGCAACATTAGTAATCTATGCACACTATTTGAATAATTTCCATTTTTTCCGAAGCAGAATTCAAGCATTATCAGAGCTATTTTGGAGCAGAATGCGAGCAGAATCCGAGCATTATCCGCCGGGGCCTACAAGTTGCGGTGGCTTGGTCATGTTGCACGAATGAAGGAGACCCGGCTGCCCAAGCAGATGCTGTTCGGCGAACTGCCCTGCAAACGCCCGCAACATGGTCCCAAGAAGCGCTAGCGGGATGTTCTGTCCTCGGACTTTACTGTCATCGGTTTACCTGAAGGCTGAAGCGGACTGGTATAACACAGCGCAGGAGAGATCCACCTGGTGTCAGTGTTGTCGACAGAGCTAGCCTAGAGGCTAGAGGGTCGAGAAGGAAGCCCCAGACAACCCGTGCCCCAACCACCGCTGTGACAGAGTGTTCCGTCGTCCTGGTGACCTCAAGTGACATGCGCCATACTGCAGATTTCTGGTTTTGTGTTTATGGATTCTCCACAGGCCTTAGCCTAAATCGAGGGAGTCTCCGTCAACAGCTTAGGAAGAAGAAGCTGAGGAGAGAAATAATAGGAGATAGTAATATAACACAGTGCTGAATGACATCGCTACTCTACGTGGAATGAAACCAGAGGGCTCATAACGGGTGATAGCAACGTGTGTGCGGACAAGAGCTGCAAAACATGTTGGGCTGGATACAGTACGAATGGCAGCCGGGAGGGAGTTCCATGTGGCAGTGGTGACAAAGAGAAAGGTGGCACGGGTGTGTGTGCTGGCTTTAGCAGGCGGGAGTAGATGTTGGGGTCGCCTGGCGCTGTTTGATACTGTGTAGCCTAGGTCCTCCAGGGTCGTCTTCTGCATGGCTATTGATAAGGTGATGGAGCTCAAGAAGGCACTGAATGTGTCTTCGCCATGCGAGGCTGGGCCACTGGAGGTGCGCGAAAAGTGAGACTTTCGGCTCCGTTTGATCACACGTGCCACTCTTGCCCGTAGCCGTTCAAGGGTAGTAGCCTGAGCACTGGAGAGTTGAAATTGCCAGAGGGATGAGGCGTATTCAACCACAGGTCGAACATATCCAGTGTACAAGCGGCTGGCTACGGCTGGGGTGATACGCTTGGTCATGTGGATCAGCAGGACCACTCGCTGGCGGAATTTTGTCGTGATGGTGGCGACGTGGCTGGTGAAGTCGAGGTTAGAGTCCAAGATGACTCCAAGATGTCGGTGAGTCGTTACATCAGACACGTCATCTCCCTGCATTCTCAGGTGAGGAGTCAGATGAGTAGGGTGGGCACACTCTGCACGACTTCGGGGAGAGAACTGCATGGTGCAAGATTTCAAAGGGTTGAAGCACCCTCCGACTGAATCAGCCCACTGCAGAACGCCATCAGTGGCGGCCTGGAGGGGGTGGACCATTTTGTTGTTGGTTAGGTCCTCCGGCTGCTCTCCCAAGAGTAGTGTCATCGGCAAATAGGAGCACATCAGTAGTGACATCAGATGATATGGTGCGAGGAAGGGCAATAGAGAGAGAATGAAAAGAATGGGTCAAGGCTGCTTCCCCTCCCCCATTGAGGAATATACTACATTATGCCTATCTCGTCTAAAGAGGGTAGCCATCTAGCGTCAGGACGGCATCTAGCAGTGAATGACGGAACCAAGTTTCACTGAGAAATAGTATGTCTAAGTTGTGATCCACCAAAAGTTGCTCAATCACTGGTAGCTTGCTCACCGCGGCGCTTTGGCAGTTAAGTTGGCCGACTCGAAGACCAACTTCGGAGTATGTACAGTAGTGAAGGAAAGCGGCGTAGGGGGGATGTTACATAGATGTGGACGGGTAGGCTTGGCTGTTAACAGATCTGGCATAGTGTGCCCCCTAGGTTTGCCTACGTTGGAAGATGTGAATACAGCGGCTAATGGGTTGAGCATGTTCTTGGTGGGAAGTGGGGTAAGCTGAATATTGGTGGTGGGGTGATCAGAGGGTTTAGAGCCTCAGCGTGAGGAAGCCATCGCTATCAAGTATCATTGCTACGGCAATGGGCGTTCAAGGGGTGTGTGTGTGTGTGTGTGTGTGTGTGTGTGTGTGTGTGTGTGTGTGTGTGTGTGTGTGTGTGTGGTGTGGTGAGCCCATAAGTGGGATCATTTTCAAGTCCACCCAGAGTTTTGGGGATTTCAGGGGGTGTCGTCCGTTGGGCGGTTCAATAGCCAATTGAGTCATCTTTCCAACATTCCTTTTGAATCTCTCTCCCCTCTCCCGGGGAGACCCACGTAACCAGTTTTGGCAGTGAGCAACAAGTACAACAAGTACAAGTGTGTGTGTGTGTGTGTGTGTGTGTGTGTGTGTGTGTGTGTGTATTTGTGTGTGTGGCATGCAACGGTGTACATACTCCGACTCACAAACAGACTGTGTTGTATTTGTTATATCAGTATGTATATGCAAGAATATCATATAATATGTTTTTTGGTAAAGAAAAATAAGGTGCACGATACACGTACTACCGCATAGCGATAATGATGTACACTATCAGTTCCAAACATGATGGCACAAAATACCGGTATATTGTAGTTGTATGATTGTTCGGAGAGAGATATGGGGAGATAGAGAGAGCTTCAAATGCGTGCAAAAAAAACTATGCATGCTTCCCTGCAGTGACAAAACTGTAACTATCATGCGGTGATACATGTTTGTTACTCACAAAAAGGCTTCATGGCAGAGAAAGGGACATGGGATATTTTTTTTATGTATTTTACAGACAAGTGTGTAAAACTGGAGGTAAGTAGAACGAGCAGCAAAAAAGGTATAGAATAGCAATGGAGACAGATTATGTTTGGGGGGGGGGGAGAGAGAGAGTACTTGCACACACACAAATATACACATGTGTGTGTGTGTGTGTGTGTGTGTGTGTGTGTGTATGTGTGTGTGTGTGTGTGTGAGAGAGGGTGTGTGTGTGTGTGTGTGTGCGTGTGCGTGTGTGTGTGTGTGTGTGTGCAGGGGGTCAAAACTATACTATTGAAAGAGTTGAAAAGTGGCCAAGACCCTTACCTGGGACGTGCCATTGGCAGGTCGGGTACACGGCCTTTCTAAAACATTAACTTAATTTCTGCATAATCTGAGTTGGCTGATTCACATACATAAAACGTCGGAGCCGTGGCAGAGCGACGATGGGCAATGGCAGGACCTGGGCGACTGAATTGTGCACTGGACTTTCGTGTTGCTCCCTCTGGCCTTCGCATGCTGGCGCGGCGTGGTGGAATTGCAGGAGCCGTGGGAGCCGTGGGAGCCGAGTGGCTAGGGAAAGACCGGAGAGAAGGAATGTTCTCTGGCGCTTCGCCAGCAATAGAGTGGCGAGCGGGACGCTTGACGGGAATTGGTTCTGTGGTTTTCAAGTCGGCACAAGAAAGCCGCCTTGGCTTCACCGGTACTGCCCTGGAGGAGGTTTTGGTGTCCTTTGTACTCGGGCCTCCGCCTAGGTTTGCCTTTCCCGTCAGGGACGGCTTTTTAGAGAAAAAGGACGCAACTGTTTGGCGCAAGGAACGGCCACTTGATGAGCTGGTCGGCGCTGATGATGACTTAGCGCTACTGCTAGTGTTACTGGCATTGCTGCTAGATGCATCCGCCATCACCAGTCAATATTGTTACCAGCACTCCCTGCATTTCACCAACAGCAACAACAACGACAGTAGCAGAAAACGTCAGCATCAACAGCATCAACATCATCATCATCATCATAGGAAAAAGCCACTTGTACGGGCAAGTCAACATGCATATCATCAAACTAAAAGTGATTGGGGTAATCAAATCAAAACCGTTTTGAAAATAATTGAACACAAAAGCAATAAAACATTGATGTTATTGTTTTGACCAGGTGGTGATCAGGGAAATCAACTCAAACTCAACTCATAATCAATTTGTGAATGATTGAATGTTGAAATGTACAACAAAATACATGTACTATGTACTATGTACATGGTAGAACTACTGGTATACGACCTAGGCCCACAGGCTTGTACGACGAAGCTTCGCTATGTTCGAACTTGGCCTGGGCTTACCGGTATGCGCGAGCATGGGCTTATACGCGGGTAGGCTTATCCGTGGGATTCTACGGTATTTTGAGTTCATCACATCTTTTAACCAATAAATACATCATGAATATGCCCCCCCCCCCCCCCCCTCCCAACCACATCCTTTCACTTCATACTCCCGCAACACCCAGTATTATCTACTTAGTATGCCGTTTTCGTACCTGGCATCTGGCAAGCATGAATACCGACTGCGGCTCAAGTCCGATTCATAATTCACTTTGGGTTTAGGAAAGGTTTTGCAGAGCACACACAAGTTGAAGCCAAGTCAATGTTTCACCTCAACCAGCATTGCACAGCATTCCCATATGCAGCATGAAGAATGAATCGGGCTTTAGGGCGTTCCCCTCTGGTTAAGAACAACAACAACAACAACAACAACAACAACAACAACAACAACAACAACAACAACAACAACAACAACACGCGTGCTCAAAGCAGGGAGTCGTAAGAGGCTTTTACGACTCCCTGGTTCAAAGGTCAACTCGAGTGACATAAACGGGCCCAAACAGGCTGTAAATGAGCACGTGACCGCTTATTCAACCGTGTTCGATTGGAAATAAGGGCCGAATGCTGCATCGCAGCCTTTTCGAACCAAAACCAGTCGACTCAGCGGCCAAAAGACTACAGCATATGGACCAATCGCGGTCATCCGCGCTTTTATAAGAACAAAACGGCGTTTTTAGTGACTTTTCCATACAAATCCCTATCTAGTAGGGCGCAGTCACCCAGTTTCGGTGGAAGTGCGCGAGTTCGATTGGGAATAAAGGAGGAAGGGAGCGTCTCAGCTTCCTCGGACCAAGACCATTCGACTCAGCACCCCGAAGACTACAACTGGTGAAAATTTGATTTTAGGGTATACTTCCCCTTTCTAAAGCCCGCTCAATCGTAATTTTACCACTCTTTGATGACGCGTCGAGGGCCTTGGATTAGTTTAAAGCCTGCTGAATATACAGGTAGACTCCCTCTAATTCGAATACGGTATAATTCGAACATTCCGTGTAATTCGAACTTTTTCGTCGTACCGATCTTCTGCAAGTCACTTCAAGTCAAATTCGAATGCATAATTCGAAGTACCAAAAGTGCGCCCGCTGGATAATTTGAACTCTGTCTTCATACAGAACTGTCTTTATACAGAACTGTCTTCGTACAGAACTGAGCAGTTTACAGTACAGTGACTACATGTATGTCCTTCGAGGGCGTATTTCGAAATGAGATGGAGTTGCTCTACTCCTAATTCGAAGTTCATTTTTTCTCCTTCTCTAGCCAAGAGTAACTCAAAAGTCGATCCCTGGTCCGCTCCAGGATCGACAATAGCGTTGAAGAAACCCACCTTCTCTCAACATTTGATTGAAGCCTGTGCAAGGCAAAGTTGCAAGATTTTATTGAAGACGACTTCTTCCAGGTGGCTGGCTCCCTTCGCGGATCTCAGTGGCTTGTCATGCCGCGCCAGCTCATGCGCAAAGAAGTTTGGGACTGAGCAACAACTGGAAATCGTACAAATTATTGTCTATGCCTATGCTCCACTTCCGTTATTCAGAACGACGTGCTGCTCTTCGACGGGCTTTCATGACGCAGTGAAGGCAGCGCTGTTCTTTTCCATCGAAAATGTTTCAGGATAGCTGCAGCGATTGAAAATTGCTTCACTAGAACTTCATAGAAGATGAAAATAATGTCCAATGACTTTGTGTCCATCCAGTGTTTTAATTTAACTTTGGTAGCGTACACATGGTATACTAATTAACGCATACATCTGTATTGATTCCTTTATAACTTCGAGATCCATCAAAGAATTCTAATGAAATTTTCTGTACTCTTTCTTTAGACAGCACAAATACAATGCCACGACAAAACTAGACCAGAAGTGTGACCCTGCCTGTGGCTAGACTTGACCAGTGTGGCCTTCCGATCTTTACAAAATCTGGCACGGCGTGCACCATACAGAACACATTGCATTGGAAATGATACCAATTCTCATGTATTGATGTTCTATAGTCCACTTCGGAGGGCACTAACCTAAGAACACCATGAGAAATTCCATGAATCTCACCAGAGGCCAAAAATTCATACGGGAGTAAAATGCGCAACACCAGCAATTCAAGAAGCAGGCAGAAAACAATCCAAGTATCAGCTAGTCAACAGGAGAGAGGTTAGTGCCCCGGACAATCCAGCAAGGAATCAAAAATACATACCGTATTTCCACAAATAGTAGGCCGGTCTACTATTTTTTCAACCTCGTCCTAACCTGGCCTTATAATCGAGGACGGTCTTGTATTCGAGGATGGTCTTTTATTCTTTCAACCTAGTTTGACCCCGGTCTTCTTTTTCTCGCCACACAGTTTTATCCCCGTTCTTCCATTTTCTTCTACACAGTTTGAGCACGGTCTTCTATTTTTTCCCACAGTTTGAGCACGGTCTTCTATTTTTAACACAAGAACAAAGACTCATTTAGTAGGCCCGGTCTTCTAATCGGAGACGGTCTTTTATTTTTTCAATCGCCCCCTGCCCCGGCCTTGTATACGAGGAAGGCGTTGTAAACGAGGACGGCCTTTTATTTGCGGAAATACGGTACTATGTACATACAGAATAACAATATCCATAGAGATACGCTGCACGGAAGAGTCCAAAAGCAGCTAAAAATGGAGAAAATTAGCTATCAAAATTGGCCAGTTTTCCTGCATATTGGTAGCTGCCAGTCACACTAAAACATACCAGACCCAAAAGTTGGCTCCTCAGTCTCCACAGTTTCATCTTCCAAGCCCTTCTTGATCCTCCTGAGCCTCTTTCTCCTTGACTTTGCTGCTGCACTGCACTTTGCAAGGCTCTTCTCCATGCGTGAAACATCGAGATCGGAGAAGGCTGGACGGGTGCAGTCTCCAACAGGGCAATTCATTTCGCAAAGGATGTGCTCGAAAGTACCAATGCCATGGTTGAAATGAATCACAGCCAGGTAAACAGCAATGTTGACAACACATGCACCAGCAAACTCCGTTTTAGGCAAATATGACCATACCAGCTTGTTAAAACACTCATTGCGATTCTGTGTCGCACCCTTCTCGCACTTCAGCAGCAGCTGGTTGTCGGCAAGGTCACAATACACTGGCACCATCAGTTTGTAGATAGGCTTTGGAATAGGGTTGTGGTGTTCGTAAGGCTTGTCAGCAGCAGCTTTGTGGTAGCCACAGCAGCTATCATTTGGGCAGAACTCATGACGGGGATTCTCATCAGTGGATGCACGATGACAAAGCGAGGCACACATAGCTTTCCACATAGCACAGTAGTCACCACTATTCTCTCTTATCACCTTCCCATACCGGTTCTGCAAGGAGTCAATGATGAGCTTGTTTGTCAGGCGTCCACTACCGCTGATACAGGTCGTCCCCCGTTAATACGAGTCCGGTTAGTACATAAACCCCGTTAATACATAAGAAATCTCAAGTCCCGGACGAAATGTGGTCACTTCCATACAAATTTTGTCGGTTAGTACATAATTCGTTAGTACATAAACCCCGTTAGTACATAACATTTCTCCGTACCCGCATGTCATCTACCTCAATAGTACATAATTTGTCGGTCTTTTGGCCTTCCAGTGGAGGCACATCGTGTTCTAGTTTCTACTTGTGGACGCAATGAACTCAGAAACCAGAGCGCACATCACAAACGGACAAAGCTCTGTTTTTTTCCGAGTGACTGTACAGGCACGGCTGGGCATGTATCATGTAAACTGTAGAATCTTCGCTAACTGTGACCGTTATAACATAATTTTATGTTATATCGAGGGAATCAAGAATATCTCGCTGCCTAGTCGAGGTAGCAAGAAACACTCAGAAAAGTTGAAAAAAGTGAAAAATTCCGGTACACAAGCAAGTTATGTACACTTTCGTTTAGTACATAAACCCCGATAATACATAACATTTGTCAAGTCCCAGAGATTATGTATTAACGAGGGACGACCTGTACTCGGATTTGCCGTCACCTAGCGACTTGGCCAGTCTCCCATGCAGTAACGGACATAGCACGATAGAGTGAGGAAAAGCCGCGGCGCATCCAGGTACCATCCGCTGAAACAGCCATATCACCGCCGACAGCATCTTGCACAGCACTGCTAGCACCATCCATGCTTTTCTCAGCAAACACCTCTACTTCAGAATATAGAGCATTCTGGTGGCCAGAGAAACTGCTTCGACTCATTGGCGTTGGCATATTGAGCACTGCACATAATTTTACCCGTGCTTGACGAACACGGCCAATCATGCGCATTGCGAACACTGCGATTTATCTCATAAAGAGATCCTGGGAGCTTGGGCGACATGGACAAAGAAACTTCAGCAGGGCACTCTGAACATGAGAAGGTGATTGTCGCAGCCAGGCCACTGCGTTTTCCCTCCTTCACAATCACATTGCCACTCTTGCATGACTTACACACACAAACAAGTGCAATGGCTGCGAGCAGGAGGCCCAAGCTCACAAAGCGATACCCAACGCCAGAGAAGCCATCACTTGGACCTGCTGGGCCAGTTTATCTGTGATCAGAGTCACCGGCATCGCTCTCTGACTCGGAGCTGCTGTCTATGTCCACATTCCAGGTCGAAAAACTCAAATCTTGCAATTAAAAAATATTTCTCAGAATTGCTGCTTCTAGTGGCGATCGCCTCTTCTTCATCATCCGCGACGGCCTGCTCTTCCGGCGCACTTGCACTACCTTCACGACCAAATTGATTGCCGTGAAATACTCTCTTGGGTGTTCTAGAACGTCGCTTTGCATTGCCTATCGTCTCCAGCAGCTCCTGACAGCAATTATGACAAGGTAATTGTCACAAATTTCACAAAAAAAACACATATTTTTTGCCCAAGCTCCGCTGGCCTGCTGGTCGCGTACGCGCACGCGTAGGCGGCTACACCTCGTGACCAAACCATCACCAGTGAGTGCTGGAAGCTTGGTGTTATCAGAATTTGCCAACAAACCGGGCTGAGAATCACAGGAAACAGCGAAATTGGTGGATTTCCGATTGCGAAAAATCACCGATGCGTACTCCAAATTTTCAAAAATCCAAATTTAATTGCAATCTTCTAGAGCGCGTATCTCCTGTTTCGTTGGTCGTAATCAAAAAAATTTTTACACGCGTAATCTACGGATCAACACCTTTCGTTTGAGCTATTTCTCGACCAGATCAAACAACTTTCAATTTTTTCGAGTTTTTCATGTGTACGCTACAGTCGTCCCTCTCTAATCCGGCACTTTATAATCCAGCACCCTCGATAAACCAGCACAATTTTCAGTAGCCAAAATATCCTCTTCATGCACATTGCAGCAGTAAATCAGATTTGTTAATCCAGCACCCTCCCTAATCCAGCAGATTTTCGTGGCACAAATGGTGCCGGATTATAGAGGGACCACTGTACCTTTTTTAATGAAATGAACTGATTTCGTTGTTGCAAATAAATGTGCAAAAATAACAGGCATGCAATTTCGAGCATTTTGACATACATATCCGTACATGGTACTGCATTTTGGATAATTAGAAGCTAGGGGTCGTTCGTAAATATCGATATTTTTTTCAAGACGATATTTGTTCATTTATTCCCAGATCCCCTCCCCCCCCCCCCCCCCCTCAAAACGAACATACACATGTTTAAGCAAAGGATCGATATTTTTTAATGAAGTGCATTTTCCTCATGAAACGTGACCAGCTGCAACTCTAATTTCACCATACACCTAGGTTGACATTGCCACGGTCGCACAACCTTGCCATGCTATGTTCACGAGGTTGACTTTCACTTTGTGTAGGTCATAAACTGTACATGTTCGAACAGTGCACGTCCATAGATAGAGTTCGATATTTTTTCTCAAAGACGAGACGAACAGGGCCCAAACCCCCTCCCCCCCCCCCCCCCCCCCCGCAAACGAACGAATATCTTCTCTAAAAAAATATCGATATTTGTGGACGGCCCCTTACGGATAATTCGAAGTTGGGGCCTGGCAATTTGAGATTCGAATTAAAGGGAGTAAGGGAGTCTACCTGTACTACAGTAGCGTACATACACATGGAGCTATCAGTGCATGCACTACACTGTACAATGGACCTGTGCTTTTGCCCATGGGCGTTTACACGGAGGTGGTCTAGAAAACGGGACACGAGTGTTGACACTGGGCACCTGGCCATGTAAACGGGCGGTGGGAGTTATACTGAGTGGGCATTTTAATACGAGCTTTTACAGTATTTCACGATGGTTAATATTCACGTTGTGGCCTTCTCGCGAAAATGGCGAACATTAATACAGTGCGGACATTAGGCAGTTAACAGTGTTCATGTTTTGCACGCAACAGGAAGGCATGAGAGATGATACCTGTACTGTATGTGATAGAATATCTATATGGTGCCACACTCCTCGGTGCGTGTGTATGCACTGCACTCTATGAATATTGATGTGTAGATAACACCATGTTAAAGTATATCAGGCACTTCCAGCTCCCAACCATAGAGAGGTTAAGCTGCACATTATTTTTGACGCGACACGAGTTCCGCTCACGTTATTTGGCCCGCGCGTTGGAAAACAACGCAAGAGAGCTGTATCTCACCACAAAATTTGGCATTTTGTATGCTAATTAATGACCTGAAATTGCATGTCACGTCCAAAATAACGTGCAGATTAACCTCTCTCCTGGATTGCCTCTTTTCTCTGACTGGGGTGGCCCTAGCTTAGCTTGAAATGATGTGCAGGTTTTGCTTACATTTGACATCCATTTGCTGGAAGGCAGTCAAGTGGGCTTTCGTCCAACACAACCCTACAAATGAAATGGAGCCGGAAATGAAGCAGAAGAGAGCAGAGAAAATTAATCATTGGGGCTACACAAGGTTGCTACTTAAAAGAAGTAGTACACTTATCTGGAGCAGTTTGCATGGGAGGCTTCTATCTTGTTGATCTTGTTTTAGGACTGCTACAATATTATTTAGCCAATGATCCATTTGTTGCGGCAGCTACCACCCAACTACAAGTGCACATTCTTTACCTCACTGGCTTTTGTTAACCGTTACGAATGCAAACATCATGGCTCGTGCATGAATAGTTGGATGCACTCATTCATTGTGTGTGTGTGTGTGTGTGTGTGTGTGTGTGTGTGTGTGTGTGTGTGTGTGTGTGTGTGTGTGTGTGTGTGTCCCATATGGTGCAGTGGTATGTGCAGTGATTTCCAATCGATAGGTTGCGGGTTCGATTCCCGACGATTATGGTCACACACGTCTTTCTTCTCTTTCTCAGACACTTCCTGACTTTTCTTTCATTCTCCTGGGTGGTTACCAACAGCTAGTGTATGCCGGAGTATGTGGTGTGGTGTGTGTGTATAAAAAGAAAAAAAAGAAAAAAATGGAAAAATGAAAAATAGGGATTCATTGGCCAGAAAAAGTCACTTCAAACAGCTGTGTGGTGGATACCAGGCTAAAAATAGTGGCGGTCAATTCATCAGCCTTGCAAGCTGTTGAATGGTGTAATCCCAGCACAAGTTGCTATGTCTAACATAGCTGTTCTCTATCATCGCTCCCGCGATGGGCATGTCTGAGGTCTGAGGTGTGTGTGTGTGTGTGTGTGTGTGTGTGTGTGTGTGTGTGTGTGTGTGTGTATGTCGGGTGGTGGCAGAGGAGGGGGGGGGGGGGGGGGGGGTGTGAATGGTGTGGCTGTGCATTTTACAGCACCCCAATGACCGTATATGCATGCATGTGTGTGCTTGTGCATGGATGTGTGTGTTTGGGCATGGATGTGTATGTTTGTGCATGTATGTGTGTGTTTGTGCATGTATGTGTTTGCATGCACGCCTGTGTGGGTCTGTTTACACGCACATGAACACGTGTCAATTCAAGTACGCAGTAAGATCACTGTTTCCCAACACGGTGGTCTCCACCTTGTAACATGCTGTCAACCAACACACCATGTTTCAACAAAACAAGGTTTATCTAATACCATGGGTGGATGGTAAGCGCTTCCATTATTGCTCCATGCATTTATGCACGAGCTCATGTTGTAGGTTGTGGTACGGCAGCTGTGCAGTATGTAGTAGCACCTTGTTCTTGCCTTCCGCTGCCAATGCCAATGACGCCAGTTTCTTTCAAATCGATCCGGTGTTGCCTCAGGCGTCGTATGCGTGGTGTTATCTTCTCTGTAGGAATTCTTTGATTTCTTCCCACCTACATTGTAGTACAGTCGCCCCTCTCTAATCTGGCACCTTTTGCTACGGCGTTTTCTGCTGGATTAACGAGGGTGCTGGATTAAGAAATCCTGCCCTCTGACCCGACCCTACCCAATTGCATGCATGTATCATACGTCAAAACGCAGGGTTTTTCGGTGTCGACCCAAGTATTTGGTGCACGGCTTTATATTCTCAACTTTTCTCCAGGAATATACACAGTGATAAAGTGATAAAGAAAACCGAGAACATGTTCACATGTACTCTTGCACACACACACGCACACACCTGAAAATTGGCAGGACACTACTCCTTGCTAAAATAAGAAAGTATGGTTGACTGCTTAGCCGTTGTCTCCTGGACAACATTGACCAGACTGGCCTAGCCTGGCCTGGCAAGGAGTGCACCTGTACGGTACGCGATTTACGACTGCCGGATTATGAAATCAAACTACGTGCAGTTTGAGCGATTCGTTTCAAAAAGTCACTGCCGGAGGCGGAATTCAAGTGCCGGATTAAGATGTAGGAATTGAACGAAAAAAATCGGTTTCGTCAGAAAGTGCGCCGGTTGGCAAGGGTTCCGGATAAACAAGTGCCGGATTAGAGAGGGACGACTGTACATGTATCAAGAGTACATAAACCCCAAGAGTGTGCAACTCGGTTCTCAGAGCTATGAGTGCCCTGCGCGGCGCGCTGCCTGTATCACATAATCAAATGACAATCCAGCTGCCTGGATTTGACTTTTCCTACGGTTTAGCCTCAACGATTTCACGTGCAATGCGGCAAGCTCAAAGACTATGCCCGTGCGTGCCGCATCACGTACAAAACATTCCAAAGTCTCCTAGGGAAGCGGATTTGGAAGCAGGAAACCGTAGCAGATCAATAATGACGCAATGGTCCACAGTTTGTGGCTACCTAATGCAGCCAGCGCGCCAGACCCCATATGCAAATTTGCATACTCTTGCGGCTATGTACTCTTGGTAGTATTTGGCTGGGGTGCGGTGCTCGGTCGGGCACCGAAGAACGGAGCGCCAAAGAACGATCAAGCTAGAATTTTACCAAGTACAGCATACCAATGTATACAGTACACGGTGACTCAACTGTGCATAGACTGTATGTACATGAGAATAAGAACTGTCACTAGGCTAGGAGGCTGACCTCTGAAAATTTGGTGCAATGTAAATCTTAATTTGAATTTGAATCGCAGTGAAGAGACCGTTTTTGGAGTTGAGAAGTGAAGTTTTCTAATTGTGCAAGTGGCTGCGTTGCAGAAGAAAAGGTAGCGAAACCGTTGATCATTTCAACGGCACGAAACTATACCATGTTCAACCAAAATATCAGCGAGACAAGGAAAACGTAAGCGACGGGCGAGAATTCGACTCCTCGTATCTCTTCTCACCAGGGACGAAACACACGGCAAACTGAACGACTATCAACTTGGATTTCGACAACGAAGGAGAATAACTCAAGGGAGATGTAAACCAGAGGACGACAAAGGTGTCGCCATTCGGTACTAGTGTTTATCTCTGAAAATCTGCCAAGTGGCCTAGTGGGCCAATCTGGAAAATACAAGTGCAAGTGGGCCAATCTGGAAAATACAAGTGCAACTTTTTGCAGAGCTCTACAATAGTACAAACTAAAGTCGAACTGTCCAAAATGCGCATGCGTGATATACGACGGAAAAACAAGTTTCTACATTCTACGACAGGGCCCCAAGCTCAAAGGTTATTCGTTTTTACAGAACACAGAAGCACGTTTACAAAAGTAGGCCCCTTGCGAAGAGGGCCGGCTGTTCTCATGGCGCAAGAGCAACCATCACATGAACTTTGAAAGGAATTGAATGACCAGACATTTTTTGGGCCACGCATTGAGGGCCAGAGAGTAGGAGACCAAACTACGGACAAGAAAAGACAAGAGAGGGAGGCAAGAGTGTACGTACCGGTATCCACACGGACTGCATGATATCCACGTCGATAGCAGCTCACCAAAACCAAGCTAAGGAGGTCAATCTATTTCGGAGACGAGCCGTCAATATCCTATCTGTCTTCTTCAACTGATTTCTCTACAGGGTTGAAAAGGCAAGCAACATACTCTATTCTATACAAGAACCTCAACTGCTCACAGCCACACGTGATGATCCAGGACGAAAGGCGCAGCCGCAGTGCGAAATCTACGTCCTTATGAGGGACCAAATCGGTCTTCACTATGGGGGTTGGGTACGACTCCCAGCTCTACACTTGCCTTAAACGATGCTTCTCATGGACCGGGGCGTGCGAAAATCAGCGCGCGCAAGTGCCAAGCGCCATTTTTCGGACCAAGGACCAGTGTCGGCTCGGTACGCAGGTGTCGCACGGCACCGCCTAGAGATCCAGCTACATTTTGTAAATACACATGTACTGTCTGTAGTCAGACATGACAGACGAAACAAGCGCCAGCGCAACTTTCATGTGAAACCTCTATCATCCTCAGCTGCCTGTATGTAGGTCTACCCAGCACCAAACATGGCTGACCTTCAGTTCTAGAAAACTCGCCACCTCTCTTTAAAGTGATGAACTGCGATTTAGTATCTTCGAGAACGCTGGTTCACACGGAACGAGAATCTTCCGCGATGATACATGTACCTCTGCAGTTGGATACTGTGTGTCGGTTCATTTCGAAGAGAGATGATCCAAGTGGAGAAATGTTAGTTTCTTGCCGAAGCAATCATCAGACAACTGTTCTGTTGATCTGGGATACCCATTATGTCACAATGCGGCTCGTGTGTGAGTCTTGTTGCATCATGAAGAATAACCTGTTTTATTGCTCATCGTATAATAGAACGTAGTTTACTCTGCAGGAAGTACCAAAGAGGATGTGAGATGTACATGATTGTATAATGTGCTTCGTGCTGACAGTGACACCTGCACTACCAGTCTCGTGACTATGCAGGAGCTGGTCGTGCTTGTTGGATATATCGGATCATGTAATACTGTGTATTATTGACATGTATTGTAGCGTCAACATGCACAATCAATGCAAAGGACAATTATTTGCGGATAAAGCGGTTCAGTATATGAGCGGTTATGCATTCCGAAATTCGGTTCGGCTTTGGACGTTCATTTATTGAACATCAAAAGTCGACCTTAAGGAGCGGATTTGTACCACCTCTCCGTTGCCTCAGAAGAACCAAATCCATGGCAAAGTCAAACGGTTACGGCGGTATGCATATCGCCTTGTCTTTTCCGCCCACAGATTATGGTGAGGACACTCCAGGCGAAAGGGAGTAGACAGGCAATGGAGAGGAGCAATCAGAGGTAGCTGACTAGATCATTACATAAGGTGTGCAGCCCGCTCTTAACAGACTGTTTTGTGACTAGAGTCAATGCCACACACACAGCGTCAATCACCCGCTCGCAGGTTACTCTGTCTCTTGCTCTTCCCCGGCTAATAACCGCTATGGCTTGCACGCATTAAGCTTCTTAGGTGCAGATCGCTGGAATTCGCTCCCTGCTTCTGTTCGTATTTGCTCCACGCTATCAGACTTCCGCTCATCCATACAAAAACATATAGGGTACCCCGTAAGAAGGCCTTAGGCCTGTGGGAATGCCCTATTAAATATTTAATAATTAATAATAATAATAATAATAATAATGCTGATGTCGCGACGTCAACGCCTGCAAAGCCATGACGAGATAGGAAACATTTGCGCCCACGCCAGCCCTACAAGTGTAGTGCATTTTCGACCTCGCTCCCGCGAATCTGTAGCCGAAGTTTCGGAATGCAAAACCTCTCTACAATTGTTTGTAGCTCTATATCTAATAATTTTATTATTATGAATGTGTGATGGTCGCGGATAGGGAAAATTTTAAATTATTTTCTAGAGACAGTTTTACAAGATAATAAGCAGTCAAAAAATCCGATAACAGGGCACAAAACTGAGACATTCAACGACCTGAGACCTAGCACCAACACACCTGTGATGTGTTGCTTTGCTGCCTCGAATTGCCGCATTGTCATGTTATTAATTTAACTGGTCTCGTCATCGTCCTATCACAGTTTACAGATTTTACATTTAAGTTAATACTTGAAATTGTTGAAAAGCACCAGGTAAGACAAAGAAAGCAAAGAGAGCAAGAAAGAGAGAGAGAGAGAGAGAGAGAGAGAGAGAGAGAGAGAGAGAGAGAGAGAGAGAGAGAGAGAGAGAGAGAGAGAGAGAAGAGAGAGGGGGGGGGGGAGAGAGGGGGAGAGGGAGAGAGAGAGAGAGAGAGACAGACAGACAGAGACAGAGAGGGAGAGAGAGCCAGACAGAGAGAGACACACACACACACAGACACAGAGAGAGAAACAGAGACAGAAAGAGGGAGACAGAAAGAGAGAGAGAGATAGAGAAATAGAGAGAGAGCTTGAGTAGGCCGCGGGCCGGACGATTGTGGTTCGGAGGCAACAACGTTGTGAATGGCCAACGGTCCTCAGCGTTTGGTCAGCACCTCCGTGAGCGACACTGACTAACGCTGCTATCTGGTGTTCACGAGTTGTTTGTCGTGCTGGAAACGGAGCGTCTCTGTAAGTTTGTATCCCTGGTGATGATTATGCCTGGAGACTCAGTGGAGAGCACTATATAAGTGGTGCTCTTCAGGCACAATCTTCCTCAGGCTACTCAAGCTTAACTGATGAGGGGTGAATTCCCCGAAACACTGTGTATTGAGCAGGGAGTGGTGCTTTCTTGCAGGTTTGCCGAGTGGAAGGTTCGATGGACTTCTCGTGTGCTCTGGATGGCAGTCGTGAGTCAGTCAAGTGAGAATTCAAGTCGGCCGGAATAGCGCAAGCTCCCATGTAGGGAGCAACACACAATTCCCCACGTATCGTCGAAGTCGCACCAACCTTTTCTTCACAGTGACTCTTTAGTTTTAAGTTTTAACAAATGCAAAAGTTATGCGATCGAGTTCACCAACTATTGTGCCCACATTTTTCCATGTTACAAAGTTTTTCCTTGGCTCACCATCTGAGCTCTAAATGCAAAAGGTGATAAAAAAATTCGTTCCGGGTGTGGTGAAATGTTAGTCGGTGCATACATGATACATGTACACAAGTAACGCAACGGGGTAAAACGTTAGAGGATAAGTCATAAACAGCAAAACAAGTCGAGAAAAACAGCGAGCTGATCAACCAATAGCTTTTGAGAGCGAGTCTATTCCTTCTCTATTTCCACGAGTAGGACATGTGGTGCCACACGTCGGCGTTCTACTGTTTGTGAACTCTCAGGTTGTGAGCTAATTACTATGGACATTCCAGCCATCCTGCTAGCTGCACCATGTTAGGTTCTTATGCAGCAAAGATATGCGTTGTTCATTAGAAGACAAGAAGTATAAAACTGCAAAGATTTAAATCTGAAAACATAGACAATTAGTCAAGTCAGGATGCACGCGTGCATACAAGTAGTTCAAGTCATACACACTACGACATAAGATACCACAGTAGACGGGACATGCCAAAATGTGGAGCTTCCTGGATCAAGTACTAACAATGACTACAGCTGCCTGGGGGCGTCCATGTCCTCCCCCAGTGTGGGAGGACTGGCAGCAAGGAGAGAAATTTCCTAGACGCCATGCTTCGAAGTGAATTGGCTATTCTAAAGCAGCCCCCCCCCCACCCATCAGGGACTTACTCATTCCTGGAAAAATACGCTCACACCATTATCGGCGAGCGGCTATCCAAGATGCGCTGTACCTGCAAGCTATCTCTCATACTGTGCGAGACCTGCTCCGTCAGCTGTACATCACGCATGGCTGGAATGAGACCCTTCTGGAAGGTTATGTCTAGCAGGTCATCAGCACTGCACACCTCTGGATACTGGCAGAGGGCCCACTTCAGGTAGATGGAAAACTCATCCCAATCCACGAAGCCATTGCTGTCCATATCAAGTGCTCGCAATGCTTTCTTTGTAGTAGTACAGCGGTAGCAGCCAAAGTACGGTGCCATGAACCCATGGTAGAATGAATCAAACTGCAAGCGATCATCACCCTGGATCTCGTCATTCTGATCCCACGTGTCCCACAGCTCCTTCACTTCAGCAATAAGCCGTTTGTGAGTTCCGTTGTCAATACCCACTGAAGCCAAGATGTCTCTCATCTGCTCCGTTAGCTGTCCACCCGAGCGGTCGAACAAGACAGCCAAGCCAAACTTGCTCATGTACTCCTCTTTGCGACCGGATCGAACATCATCCAGGATTGTCTCCTTCATGGCCTTGGCGATGTCGACTGTGAACTGAGGATCATCACCGAACTTTTCGACCAGCTTTTCCAGAATCATCTCTGGAGATGCCAGGGTAGTGATTCTCTTCTCTGGTTGAACACCAAAGAACTTGCCCATGTCGAACTGGCGCATGACGGTGACTGCGAAGCCAAACACCATATCCAAGGCTCGTTCACCATATAGAACTTGTCTAGGTGAAGGGTAGGAGCCAGTGGTAATCCTAGTCACCTCTCTAGCTGCACTTCTCATCTCCACACATTGATAGTTCTCCAGTACTTTGGTGTTGCCCAGTCTCACCAAGTTCATGACGGTCACTGTCGATGAGGCATGGCCAACTGCTGCTCCCTCCTCACACACGCTGGCCCATACTCCATTCGCTCCATACTGGAGACAACGCATAGTGGATGCAGTCTGGAAGTCCCACTGTTCATGAACATTAACTAACAAGTGTCCATCTTCCCAGCCGCAGGCGTCCATCACCTTTCTGACGCTCTTTGTCCACAAGCCCAGTTCCTCAGGAAGTGATTCCCCAAGGTCTTCATAGACGATACCAAATATACGCTCTTCAGTAGGCAGACAAGCCAGAAATCGAACAACCTCAAGCACGCGACCTGGTGCCTGTGCCATGGCTGCGGCAAAGTCTCGCAAGTTAATCATGAGCTTGGCAGATGGGTGCACCTCACGTCTGGTCCATCGGAAATACTTCATCATCAGCTGACACTGGTCCTCTATAGTCCACTTCGTGTCCCACTCACAGTCTACATTCGCCAAGTCGATCTCAAAGATCGTGTTCCTCACACCATACTTCTTATTCTTCAGACAGGCTACGGGGATTCGCTCTGTGTCATAACGTCCACCCGACAAGCCCTCTGTGACTTCGGAGAACGAGTAGTGGTTGCTCATGTCCTCACCCTTGTCTAACAGGTACTGACAGAAGTCGTCATCCACACGAGTCATATGGGCAAAGCACGCCACAATGATGTGCGTCATACCACACTTCTTCACCTGGTCGTAGATGGCGATCTTGTCCTTCAACGTATGACTACGCAGTTGGCCCACTGTGCTCATACATAGTGAATTGTCCAAGACGAACAGGTCCAAGTCACGAAGACGCTCTAAGCGATTTCGCCGAAAGTCAGTTACCTGCTGCGTCAGCTGGCAGACTTCATCGTCAACCACGTTCAGCTCAAGCCCAGATCCATGTTCTGCGTTAGTCTTACTTCCACCATTCTTGCGCATGTCCAATCACGTGACGCGGCTGTTAGTTACAAGGGACAGGATCTAGGAGATCAGCAACACCTACATTCAGCGAGACTCCGTATGTTGGCGACCTGTGTTGGGCCTTTCTTCAGTTTTGTCACGAACAACAACTGTTTCCGGTCTATTTCTGCGGGAAAGAGAATTCGACCCAGATGTACACTGTAGCTTGGTTTATCCAGAAGATAACAATGAGCTGCTAGCTAGGCAAGAGTGGTACATAAGGTATTATTCGACTAACTCACAATAATGTGTCATACACGCAGATCGACGCATCCATTTTATTCTCTTGTCGCACGATTTCTGAGGCTCTTCTCCCAGGCTTTGTGTCCCGGCACTTGCCAGGCCGCCGGGTTAACCACAATCGCACCTGTACCAGTCCTTAACCCATTGAGGGCTACAGGGCCTTTCATCTGAGACTCTGAAGAAAATGCTAAAAATATGGCCAATGTACAGCTCCACAACTTCATAGTCTAAGAAACTAGGTTGTTGAACTCTTGTGAAATGTTGACCAAGGCTATAATCATCACGCTGACCAACTCGATATAGTTCCTAGAAAGGGGAACAAGATGCTATACGACACGTAAGTTCATCCAAATTGCGTAAAATACGAAAAAGTCGGCAATTTGAGTTGAATCACCGGACGAAAAAGAAGAAAAAAAAGTATCCAAGCGGGATTCGTACCCGCAACCTCTCGTACTGAATGCCGGAAATGTACCGCTCGACTCTGGGGTCTCTTGCAACCCTACGCTGGAACACGGAGCTTAGTACGGTAGGATAGCCTGTCAGCCCGAGTATATTCGGGCTCAGCGCCCTGGCGTCATCCTGAATCCCGAATATATTCGGGCTCAGCAGTCAATGGGTTAAGAGGCTAAGTAAGTGTATGACTCCGAGACCGGGTGGCATGCACACGCACGTAATCTCGGCTAGTGACAATGCCAATGGGTAACGTTTGGTGGGACATGATGCAGTGTGCAAGCTGTGAAAGCTGTGCTACATAATCGCAGGGAGAAGGCTCCCGTGTGACTGTGTGACCGTGGTGTCCTAATGGAGTAATGTGCAATGTAGTCACTAAGTGGGTCCTGAAGTCCTGATCAAGTTCCTGACATACTCCAGGGAGATTCCATGCTGCCTGTTGTTGGGATACAGTACCATACACGTGCACCACCACCACCACCACCAGCAGCGCACAAGCAACAGGTTGCATCTGCGCTGCTCTCCGATTTGACCAATCATGTCAGTGCAATGCATGATGGTGGCCATTCTTGGTCCAATGTGCCCGTTCGTCTACTACTACTACTGTACATCATGAAGCTCACACCTATTACTAGAAGTAGTGTAGGATCCCTGCCTGGCTAGTACGGAAGTAATACGGAACTTTACCTTAGGTATATGTCAGTGTATCTCCGTATGTAAGCGTACGGAGTCTACTGCATAAAAGCTGCTGCGCATTTCTGTTTAGATTAGATTTTATAGCAACGACAAAGCCAACTCGAAGAAGAAGTAGTCAACCTCTAGGTGTGCACCGAGTGGTAGGCGCGGTGCAATCAACAAGAGTTAGTTTTATTCTTCTTCTCTCAGGTACACACCTGGGATATAATTATTAGTAAAAGGAGAAGCGTCAAATAAATAGGATTCAAGTTCTCTCCGGTGCACACCTGGAGGTTGAATACTTCTTCTTCTTGGTTTTGTCGTTGCTATAAAATCTCATCAAAACAGAAATGCGCAGCAGCCTTCATGCTACAAACGCCGTACGCTTACATACGGAGATACACTAAATATACATCAGGTAAAGTTCCGTATTAGTTCCGTATTACTTGATCTACTTCCGTATTAGCCGGGCAGGGATACTACAGTAGTAGCAATGGTACATTGCATTATTCTTTTTATTCCACGATGGCGTGACGCCAATAAGGACGATTGATAAGTGTGGTAGAACTTATATTAGCCAGAAACAGCTAGATGGAAATTAACCGGGGAGGCAAGAAGGAATGGATCATGTAAAACAAGCGGGGGCAATAACGTTAGCAGGGGTGATCGAGATAGTTTTAAAGTACATGTTCGACATTTCAGAAACCAGGGGATGCGCGGAGCAGGAACAGGTACTGCTGAAAAGAAGACTAGATGCATTGTTTCGGAAAGAATTTCTACGAGGTTGGGTTGTGATGTCGATAGGGAGTGACTTGTAGAGGGTGAGGGCACTGTTGATGGAGGGAATCTCGGTGCCTGTTTGTGTGTGCGTGTCCGATGGAGTAGGTCCTTCTCTGTCGAAGAGTGTATGGTTGGTGTTGACATTGTGGTACAATAAGTTGTTGTAGGTGTGGTGGGGAGGTTTGGTGGTGGATGTCCCATGCTAGTAGGACTTGTTTAACAAGGAGTCGTGAGCTAAGGGTGGGAAGTTTTGCGTGATGGAGGAGGGAATTGTGGTGAACTGGTGCAAAGAGGGAAATCCGAAGGCAGATGCGTATAGCACAGCGTTGAATTCTCTCCAGTGTGTCCCGCTGTTGCTGTGTGGTGTTGGAGAGGGGAAGGCTGCCATATTCGAGAACGGGTCGGATGTAGGTCGTGTATATTAATAGTAGGCTGGAAGCGGTCATTGTCAATTTGTGCCACGTGTCTTGTGGAGTTGGTGTAGTACAAGTAGGTTTTGCTTTGTTGGTGGTTTCTATGATGTGTTGGGTCACACTAGTACATGCTTCGTACAGCATCTATCTTTTTCCGAACTCATTTTGCACACTTTCTCTTTTCCCAACTCCAATGTTCATTGTATATACACAGATAGGAGATCCCCCCGATAGGCTTCAGCCTTTGGGTAATCCTGAAAAAAAGATTTTATTATTATTATGCAGGCGAATGCCCTTCGCAGTCGAAGTCAGGCTGCGGGCTGGTCAGCAGTATCTCTCTACCTCTAATAACATTACGTCATTGTACGTTTGCATGATTGGCAGAAGTAGTCACTGTCATAACAACAAGCCCTGACTACATTTGAATGCGTTGAGTTCTTTGTCCATTGACATTGAGGAACGGTACATGTACATAATAAATAATGTACTCGACACAAAGGTTCTATTTCAATCTGCAAAATGTGAGAACAACAGTCGCCGTGCACGCGTGTCTGTTGTTCTCACATTTTGCTGATTGTAATAAAGCCTTTGTGTCGAGTACATGTACCGTTCTTCAATGCAGGGTATTTACTACTCCCTGCTTCAATGTAACTGTACTACAGTACTATTGTACCGGTACTGTAGTACAGTCCTAATCATTGAACGTGATGAAAATCTACGTGAAGTACTGTACATGTAATGTCATTATCCCACATAGTGACACTGTACAGATCAGGTCGCCAGTTCAAGCCGTCGCACATCCGTATCCAGTCCAGCCATACTGGCTGAAAGTGAAAAAGAAAACCATGTCTCTCCACCCGAGTCCATTCATGTCACCTGTGTTCAGTGTTTTCTGTGGCACAATACTTGTATCTCAATGATTTCTGTGACACAAATACTTGTAACTGTTGTCTCAATGATTGAGCTCAATTCAAGTGGATAGGCATGCGTCTTGCCACCTGCCATCCAGTGCAAGGGCAAGAATCGGAACTCTGCTCATCTCGCTGCTGGTGTTTTCGATCTTGCTGCGCTTAGTTACTTCATACAATGGAACATTGACATACCCGTGATGGCAACGAATATTCCCCCAAGAAACATGCAGCAGGGGCTCGCAAGTCACAAGGTCAAAAACGAACACCACTGTTGTATCCACATCATCATCATCATCATCATCATCATGACTGCACCTTTGTGAACAGAATAATAATACCAATTTACTTGTTGGGATTACTTGCTTCACGCTAAAGTGATCCAGCAGCAGCCACCAAAACCAACTTCAGCCTGATAAGCTGATAACTGAAATCATAAACACTGAAGGCGAAGATAACTATCCAGCTAGCTGCACGAGGTGAGCACTTGGCTACTAGTATCCAAAAGTACATTCTGAGGCTATCACCCTAGCTGAGGCTATTGCATTTGCAGAGGTGGTGATTTTTTTAAAAACTAATATGGCATGGGCACATGCATGCATAACAGCCATTAGCACGAAGAGTGCCACGCATTATACTGTACATGTAGTGCATACCAACAAGATATACACAGAGAATTATCCAGCGAGCACCAGGCTGGGCCATTGCTCCACAAAAACGGAAAAAATGCTCCAAATCTTGATTGCTCTATTATTGAAATTGCTTTCTCCACGCAGGGATTTTTCAAATGCTGCAAACATGAGCAATACTATACAGACTTGGCAACATGGTATGCGTGGGTGGTTGCAAATCTCTAGTCGTGAACTAAACCAACTACCATGGATATTCCAACAGACACGCCATATATGGCAATCTGAAGATTCCTCGATCAAGTCACTGACATTGTCTACACTTGCCTGCAGGCGTCCAAGTCCTGCCGCAGTGTATGCAGGAGAGCTAGGCCAGGACACGCAATGAGCAGAGTGATTTCTATTGTCCAGAGCAGCGAGACAGGAAATATGCAAACCTAAGGCCGTGGAGACAATGGAACAATGCCTATCAGAGACATACTCGTAACTAGAATACCATGCTCACACCATTGTCGGCGATCGGCCATCCAGGAAGCGCAGAGCCGCAAGGCTGTCTCTCCTATCCTGTGTGGCCTCCTCCATCAGCTGTACATCGCGCATGGCTGGAATCAGACCCTTCTGGAAGGTTATGTCTAGCAAGTCGTCAGCACTGCACACCTCTGGATACTGGCAGAGCGCCCACTTCAGGTAGATCGCAAACTCATCCCAGTCCACAAAGCCATCACTGTCCATATCCAGTGCTCGCAATGCTTTCTTTGTAGTAGTACAGCGGTAGCAGCCAAAGTACGGTGCCATGAACCCATGGTAGAATGAATCAAACTGCAAGCGATCATCACCCTGGATCTCGTCATTCAGATCCCACTTGTCCCACAGCTCCTTCACTTCAGCAATGAGCCGTTTGTGAGTTTCATTGTCAGCACCCACAGCTGCCAAGATATCTCTCATTTTCGCCGATAGCTGACCACCCGAGCGGTCGAACAAGACAGCCAAGCCAAACTTGCTCATGTACTCCTCTTTGCGACCGGAGCGAACATCATCCAGGATCGTCTCCTTCATGGCCTTGGCAATGTCGATTGTGAACTGAGGATCTTCACCGAACTTTTCGACCAGCTTTTCCAGAATCATCTCTGGAGATGCCAGGGTAGTGATTCTCTTCTCTGGTTGAACACCAAAGAACTTGCCCATGTCGAACTGGCGCATGACGGTGACTGGGAAGCCGAACACCATATCCAAGGCTCGTTCACCATACAGAACTTGTCTAGGTGAAGGGTAGGAGCCAGTGGTGATCTTAGTCACCTCTCTAGCTGCACTTCTCATTTCCACACATTGATAGTTCTCCAGAACTTTGGTGTTGCCCAGTCTCACCAAGTTCATGACGGTCACTGTCGATGAAGCGTGGCCAACTGCTGCTCCCTCCTCACACACGCTTGCCCATACTCCATTCGCTCCATACTGGAGACAACGCATGGTGGACGCAGTCTGGAAGTCCCACTGTTCATGAACATGAATCAACAAGTGTCCATCTGCCCAGCCGCAGGCGTCCATCACCTTTCTGACGCTCTTTGTCCACAATCCCAGTTCCTCAGGAAGTGATTCCCCAAGGTCTTCATAGACGATACCAAATATACGCTCTTCAGTAGGTAGGCAAGCCAGAAATCGGACAACCTCAAGCACGCGACCTGGTGCCTGTGCCATGGCTGCGGCAAAGTCTCGCAAGTTAATCATGAGCTTGGCAGATGGGTGCACCTCACGTCTGGTCCATCGGAAATACTTCATCATCAGCTGACACTGGTCCTCTATAGTCCACTTTGTGTCCCACTCACAGTCTACATTCGCCAAGTCGATCTCAAAGATCGTGTTCCTCACACCATACTTCTTATTCTTCAGACAGGCTACGGGGATTCGCTCTGTGTCATAACGTCCACCCGACAAGCCCTCTGTGACTTCGGAGAACGAGTAGTGGTTGCTCATGTCCTCACCCTTGTCTAACAGGTACTGACAGAAGTCGTCGTCCACACGAGTCATGTGGGCAAAGCACGCCACAATGATGTGCGTCATACCACACTTCTTCACCTGGTCGTAGATGGCGATCTTGTTCTCCATCGTATGGCTACGCAGTTGGCCCACTGTGCTCTCGCGTAAAGAATTGTCCAAGACGAACAGGTCCAAGTCACGAAGACGCTCTAAGCGATTTCGCCGAAAGTCAGTTACCTGCTGCGTCAGCTGGCAGACTTCATCGTCAACCACGTTCAGCTCAGGCCCAGATCCGTTTGTCTTACTTCCACCATGCTTGTCCATGGTCTATGTTGCTAAAAGGGCCACGAGAATAGTTATACACAAACACTTTCAACCAGTCGCTTGTTGTTCTATTCACAAGATCTTGTCCAGCTTGTGCTAACAAAAGTGAGTTGCTAGCTAGACAAGTAGAGTAGTAGAAAAGGCAACATTCAAGTAACTAGTTAGTTACATAACACTCAAGCAAGTGTAAGTATGCGTCCAATGATGTACATTGGCGCATCGTTTTCTATGCTCTGGTCGTCGGACTTGGAACGTCTTTTTGTACTGGCAGCGGTGACTGACCCCACTCCACAATCGACATGTGTACCGGTTCTACTACGAACTCGATTCCCGGTACTAGTGCAGTGCTCCTGACTTTCTGGATTCCGCTCAGTGCAAGTGGCAGGACATGATCGATACAGTGCAGGCTGGACCAGGTGCATGGAGAACTATGCAGACAGAACGGTCAAACCATAACGCAGTCCATCATTGTCATCAACTAAGTACAGTACTGTAGGATACTGTAGGATACTGTAGGATACTGATTGATTGATTTTATTTTACTTCGCAAGTTCAAACGGGTTCCTGGCCCAGTGAAAGCGAAGGATAGAATTTGCCAAAATCCTAATGAGCAACAGCATAGGCAATACTGGCGTTCGGTTTGTTACAATTCGTCCTCGCGAAGCTTCCCCTTCATATTTTCATCTCTCAGTCCGATAATATTGGGCCTCCCAAGTAATAGGTGGGTGGTTGTTGCTTTGCGTTGTCGAATTGTGGTTTGACCGTTCTGTCTGGTCTTGCCGTCCCGTCATCATACCAGGCCAGCTTCCATGAAGAAGTAGTTGGAAGGCCGTTGGGTAGCGCTAACGAGCAGTGCTCAAGCTGACTGTCATGGCGTGGAATGTCTCAGTACATACTCCTTGCTAGTTTTATGCTAGATTGTGCACGTCTGACTTTAGTTGGTGGACTCGATCGCATAACTTGTGCCCGCAATTTCCATGTTACAATTTTTTTTACTTTACTTCAGGCACTGCTACATGTACTGTGTACCTGTTCTTGTTGTATTTAAGTTTTTTTTTAATAGGGAAAACTCCACAGACTATAATTATGTCTTTTCACAGGGCACCCTGCGTAAACTGCGTGAAAATGTAAGAAAACGTTGAATGAAGAAAACGGAGGCTGAACACTATAATGCCATTAAATACTAGTAGGGGCATTATGTGTTGCAAACGTTGTGGCGACTTCTTGCATTGTTGGTCATGAAACGAGTGCCATTTCTTATTCACTACTCTGGCATAGGTAGGGAGTGGAGCGGCTCTGTACAGTCATGTACATGTATGTCTTATGATTAAGCTTATACATGTACATGTAGTCTAGCCCCTTGTCCAAGGCATAAGCATGAGTGCATCTCGATTTCAGAGTATATATTATACCGGTATTACCGGTATTACTGTTAGCCCAGTATCATCAGCTAGCAGCAAAGGGACTAATCAGTAATTCAATTGCGCTCCTCGACTTGCCTCTTGTGTGGGTGCTTGGGACAATGACATTCTTGGTACAACGATGAAAAACAAAGCAAAGACAGCTACGTCATGTACAATGTAACTTGAAAAACAAGCACCATACAACACACAACATGTCTAGTACGCGCTTCCGCCACTGCAAGTGTGGCGGACTGTTCCTTCGAACCCAAACGGGGATGGCCATACCGATTGCGAGATCGAGAGCCACGCAAACACAATATGCACGATGAGCGACACCAACAACATCTCTCAATACTTGTACATACGATAGGATATCGCTTGCCCAGGTTCCGCGGCACCTTGTCTTGTACAACTGGTGTGTTCCCACTAGACCCACACGCAACGGGATGTCACTGCCTTGTGTTCATTTAAAATTCCTCCCTGTACTTGAAAGTTGAAATCCCCTTTGTTCACTGTGCATTCTCCCTATGGTCCGCCCTGCCCCTGACATGCACCAGTGCAGTATCAAGGAATAGTCAAACTAACTGTTACTTACGCTACTACTAACTAACTGTTACTTACGCTTTCCCTCCACATGTACATGTAAGTTGTAAGTGGTAACTAACAGATCTTGTCACCTCTCGTTCTCTTGTTCTCTCCTTTCCCTCTCATTATAAAAAATGTAGTTTTTAGTTAGGCGTGGTTACTTTAATACCACCCTTCATCTCATTCTCACTATTGGCAGTCTTACAGCGAGCCAGGATAGGTTGGGATAAATGATCGTAACAATGCAAATGAAGCAACCACTGAGTATGGCTCGCCACATACACACACACACACACACACACACACACACACACACACACACACACCTTTGGACCTTTGGAAAGCCCATCGCCGAAGGCGATGATAGCTATTAGGCGAGGCAGTAGTTCTTGTGTCGGGATAAATCATTCGGACGGCGAAAGTCGCGGCCGCAGACACAGACGAACACTCTTGGTTGGGGCTGGCTTGGTGGCTTCCGACGGCTACACACACACACACACACACACACACACACACACACACACACACACACACACACACACACACACACACATACACACACACACACAGAAGATACCGAAAGTCTGTGCGGTAACCAACCATACGGAAGGCAAGGTCCATCACGATATTCCGTCTTCGTCAAGTAGTTGAATGGATACCGGTTCAAGGGTCTGCAGGTCAGCCATGGAGATGCTCCTTTTTCCCTTGCCAACCCATTGCACCACAATTCATGTACATGTACAGCAAAGGAATGACCACTTGTCGGACAAAGCCTGTGTAAAGGCCGCATATGCGGATTGTGGCTGGCTCAGTCAGCTTGCAAACCTCATCAGTCCACTTTGCTACTTTATTTTTGATATACCGGTAATCACATTGTATTTTCACAACCCCCCCCCCCCCCCCCCCCGAGATGCCACTCTTTTTAGGACTGTACACTTCAACTTCAAGCATCATCATTCATCAGTGCCATTCATGACTCATGTGGTCCATGATTGTACCTACACAATCTCCGAACTAAATTCACACCACTCCGTGTCACCATGGTCACTGCCAATCACTCACTGCCTTCAGTTCAAATGGGGTGGGAGTAGTAATCAAGTTCAAGTGACTACAATCATGTATTCCCTGGTTCCAAGAATGGGCGGGGACACCAGGCATTATAATTATTGCGAAACATGTCACCGTTCTTCCCCAAGACAAGTCAGCTCAAAGACACTCATGATCCTGTTGACGGCCTAGTACGGGGCTGGCAGTACCTCAGTATGGGCCAGAATCAAAAACGAGAAGAATATGTGACCATTTTATATAGCATAATCATGATAATCCTAAGGCTAAGGCAAGAAGTGCATTGTACTGGTACATGTACTAACATTACAATATGCATGTACATTTATTGTACAATGTATGTGCAGATCTACTTGTACATGACATTGCACTGTCTTGACTCTTGTGTTGGTGGACCATGGAGCTCATACAGACTCAGTCATGTACAGGGTCCAGCGGATAATGCTCCGAAAATGTTCGTATACTGCTTATCATAAAGCTCCAAGAACTACCTCATACTACTGATTATAATGCTTCAACAAGGCCTATAATCCTCTTGGTTTTGAACAAAATCTAAAGGAAGGCTGCACATTGTCAAACTAACCAGGAAAGTATGCATTTAGCCGATCTGCCTCTGAAGCTGCTACAAATTCACAATATCTCTCATGAGCTCCAAGACTTCTTAGCACTATAAGACATGATCGTGTCTCCATTGGCTGCTCTCCATTGCAACTATTACTTTGATGCAGGGCTGTGGCTGAATAATGGGTGTATCAAATCTTTTCCCTTGCTTATCCATGTAGTGAGAGGTGAAACCATTATTGCTGGTGATCATTTGGGTGCTGGAAGCTTATCATGGGAAGTGATATTCCTGCCTGCAGTCTGTGCAGACAAGCTGTCACTGCTTCCACTCTGTGAAAAATGTCTTCATCTGAAACAGCTCACGTGAGGCAAGTTCCTGAGATCCCTCCCATTTGCAGAAATCCTGAACACAAGTGGTCAGAAGTTATTTTTCCGCTCTACATCCTCTGCTTGCGCTGTCTTCTTCTCCTGAGGTTGCGTGGAGACAAATGGTTGGCGACAATACTCTCCTTTTCTGATAGCACTTCTGTGACTTGACTGTAGGCCTTGCATTACAATCGTCCACGACGAACTGTACGTGCTTCACCAGGAAAGTAAGACATGCGCTGCTGAGCACTCATTTTTGAATCGACTTGGTACTGCGTCCATGAGGAATTCTAGTTTTTTCGAGCCTGGTGAGCTGGACTCAACAAAGACAGTTATTTGGAACAAGCTCTTTCTGTCTAGTCTAGGCTCCGGCGGATTATGCTCGCGAAATCAAGGAATTATGCTTTCATGGATTCTCGCATTATGCTCGTAAAATCCTCATATTATGCTTTGGCACCCGGGGATATATATTCACTTTGTTGTACTTATGGAGCCTCAAAGTTCGGGAAATTGTGCCTTTTTTCGTACTTGCAAGTGGCCATAAGTACAACAAAATGCATGTACAGTGCCGGCAACTGAAATCCGACCCCCTTGGCGGCGCCGCCAAGGGGGTCGGATTTCAGTTGCCGGCACTGTACATGAGTATTCCCATACCAAGGTGTCCATGCATGTAAGAGCCTAAGAGGTCAACATGGAAAAGAGAAAACAATACTTCTTCTATTCATTACTTGATTTCTTTTGTACTTTAGTAAAAACATTATTTCATTGCCAAATTAGTTTGAGTTACCTTTGAAAATTATCATGTTCACAGTGAACTGTCTTCGTAACCATCATACTCGTCCAACCGATGTCACCCTGGGCCTCACCCTGCGAATCAGCTCATCTCTCCCATAGCTCCACTTCTCCTTCCATCATGACCGAACATCAACCATACATCAATTTAGAGCAATATCCGTAGCCTGCAGTCATATCACGGCTGCTAGTATCCAGACTGGTCATGACTTCGTAACATGCATAATGTACAAATGTAATGTACATGTACACGGAGTTTTGCGGACTACCCGTCACTATCTCGTCCGCCCCGGGATACCTGATGGAGGCTGATTCACTCGCATCTTCTGCTATATGCACTGTGTCAGTGTGAGAAAGAACTTTGAAGAAGACGAGTTCGAGCATATACAATAATGTCTTGCCATGATTTCTGCCCTGCTTTTCATTGAAAACACTACCGGTATC